CTAGCCACCAATTTAGTGGGCATACCCCCATGAACAGTCACGGATGACTTCGCTCATTCGGGCGAATAAATTTTCTTTACCTCTCATAGTGTTTGTATCTCTGTCGTAATTTACGTGGCATACCATATATATTAGGTAACAGGAGTTCTGGGTGATCAAGTGGGTAGGATCATCAAACTAGGGACCCNATTCCTCGACCACCACCAATCTCTCTCTTCCCAGACAGCCTTTGTATAACATTTTTATACTCAATAAACTAATCAGAAAGTAAAAACATCTAAAATTTCTTCTTCTTCTTATTATAATTGCGCTATCCAATCGCATATCAGAGTCTAGTTTCATCTCTCTTCTCACAGTGGCAGTGATAATGGTGCAGTGTGCAGCAAACCGACTTTCCCCCTGGATATTGGATAGTTAGCAGGAACGTGCGCTGTTTGTTGTGCGTGCATTTGGCAAGATCAGATAAATGCTCATCGGGAACATTTCAAATCAGTTTCTGCCAGTGGGAAAAGTTTAGATTATGTTTGAGTAACACAACCAAGCTGCATACCTTAACGTTGCATCACACAACTATTAAACACCTCAAAATGATATTCGATGAAAAATGTGGATCCAGCGATCACGAGGTTCTAGTGTTCGGTTATTCGAACAGGCGGCTCGGAAACACGTCCTACTTCGAGATGAGCGTCTTATTGAGCCAGTCGACAGCGAAGTGATTTATTACCGGTCTGCTGACAACGACAGATCTGAACCCCGGACCTTGAAGTCTTGTAAAATAAATCGTACTGTGAAACCCGGTTAAAGAAGTTGGTTATAGTCAACCGTAAACACTGATATCTTCGATTTCGTAATTTGACAATTTACACCATGTCTGCGCGTGCTCACGTGTTTTTGACGGAACCGGGACTAATCATTTTTCACAAAATTTTTACTTGATTAATTTTAATCTCCTTTTTCTCATTTTATTATCTCAGGATGGTGCAATGGTTATCGATAAGCTGCGCAGTGACGATCTACCACCAGTCGATTTGCCGTTCCTCAATCTGGGCACCTGTCCCAGTACCCTGTTTGATGGTCCTTATCAGTCCCTTGGGGCTTATCTCCTTGGTCTAGAAAATCCCAAATCCTGCCCACAAATCAGTGCATTTGGAAGCGGTTCGTCGACTGCATTGTCTTCCGCCTCAGGCACGATGGGTATGCTTGGAGGTGCCAAGCGTGGCAATCTTCGAACCGCCTTTATCTGTGATATTGGTGTCAGAGGAGTCAAGGTATGTAATTGTTATCCCCTGCTCACTCTCCACCAACTTTTCACCTCCTACTACAGATGCATCTGGACTGCATCATGGTTTCGTTATGTCTAATTTACTATTTGATAACCTTTTTGGGAGTCATGTTCGATATTTTCAAAGTTTTTCCGAACGTTTTCACTGAGACCTTCAAATGGAATTGATTCGGGTCACCTAAATCTCGAGCTATTGCACGCTTGAGGAATTCGAGTAAAGCATATTTTGCATCTCAATTGTGATTCACTTCTTCCTCCAGACCAGTCACATTGTGAGTTTTATAACCATTACTACCAGTGATTCCGCTCGGACAGGCTTTCTCTGCTACTGAGCTACGGATTAGTCGATCGGAGAATCTCCTATCTCCTTTCACTGAAAGCGCGTGTGTATTGCGCAACGACATGCACCATGCTGCTCTATAGCTGCGAAACCTGACCCCTCCGAATAGATCATGTCCAACGACCATCCGTGTTCGACAACCGTTGTCTGCGCAACATCACCCGCGTATGGTGGGAGCATCGCGTGAATAACGGTGAGCTCAGAAAACGTGTGCTAGGGTCAGATAGTCTTCCGTTGAGCAAAATAATTTAGGTAGTTAGAGATCGTCCTACGAATGCCTATACAACGTCTGCCATACCGTGCACTATTCGCAGAAATCGGTCCAGGTTGGAAAAAACAGCGAGGTGGCCAGGCTATGACGTGGGGCAGAGGGTTGGGGCTTCCCGGCTACCCGGCTGAGGTCCCAAAGATCCAGATTGTCTTTGGTTGAAGACTGCCGTATGTGCCATCGAACTGAAGCCAGTGGCCTGAATGCATTCCAAAAATAAACAAAAACGAAAAAACAGTAAACAAACAAAAAAAATTTTGTCATTCCCCCAAGTTGATTATTTTTGCTTTCCCGCTACTTTTCCTATAGACTGCTGGTTTTTGTCCCTCGATGACCATACTCCATAACTTGATATGTGTCTATAATATTCATCCTAGTCAGACTGTGTCTTTAATCAACATCGTCCCTAAACTTCTCACTGGGATCATACTCCGCCGATTGTCTGCCGCACGCGAACGGTGCACGCGTGAGAACCAGGCTGGCTTCAGACCCGATCAAGGTTGTATCGACCACATCTTCACTCTGCGCCAAATTCTGGAGCACCGGCATTCGTTTCTTAGACCCACCATCTCTGTTTTCCTAGATCTGAAAGCGGCTTTCGACTCAGTCGACCGCTCTAAACTCTGGCGCTGCCTTTTTCTGAAAGGTGTGCCCGAGAAGTTAATTTCAGTTTTACGAT